AGCCGTTCTGCAGAAATAATAATAAAATAATAATAATAATAATGATAATATTAATAATAATAATAATAATAATAATAATAATAATAATAACAACATTCAACAGGAGCAGATGTCTCCAAACTTTGGGACATACTGTAAAGAGTATGTGTAAATTAGGATTACTTACATTTGCTGTGTTCAGCAAATGGAGACACATCCTGGTTCATGTACTCTGAATTATCTTTCAGTAATGTGCTTTTAATCTAAGTTTGTTAGAGCACACCTGGTTCCAAATAATGAATGTTTTCATTGATATTTGAAGTGTACAATCAAAAAAAGGTTTAGTTCATCTGCTTTTCACTTACTTATCTTGGTTTTTCTCACTGTTGCTTGTGTTATGTACCTTCTCAGTAACTGTTACTGCAGGAGGGGCAGATCTTCTTCTACAAAAAGCAAAGAGCAAAAACATGCAACACTGAGGTGTGAAAGTACAGTTATTTTTACAGACTAACACCACTTATAGGACTGCACCACTTAAATGTCTTGCAGAATGGAGACACATGGTGCAGTATGTCCAAAAGTGTCAGATAGCCATTCTAATTAGTGAATTCAGCTACTTTAAAGTTGAACCCATTACTGACACATCAGATGACCTTTTACTTAAGAGCCAAATAAAATGCAATACACACAACCTGTTTCAGTGTTTTGGCATTACTATTTGGACTTTGAGTTGGATTCAGAGTTTTTGAGCAGAGTTGGCTACCTTTGCTGTGCACACTAATCCAGGGTTGCTGCACAATTTTTAAAATTATAGTCAATGCTTTTTAATTCCTTTTTAAGACCTCAGCAGCATGTCACTCGCAACAAGTTGCAGAAAACAGTCTCTAGTGTGCTCACATTTTACAGGGCCATGTTTATATGAAGCATGGAGAGTTTAAAAGTGGAAACACAGGAGCTGCAGATATTACACAGTTTAAGATTACTATTTAAAACAGTTCAACACTGCAGACATTGAAGCCACTGTGTTTATCTTCTGGAAAAAACTTCTAAGTGCTGCATGTTGTGAATAATGTCTGTCTATGACAAAGGAGTCAAAAGAGCACAAAGAACAGAAAAGGATCCAAACTGAACCAAGCTTACTGTACTTTAGACATCCACTCATTTAATACCTTTTTTAACACATTTTTAGACATTTATCACCTTAAATTTTAATTAAATTTTTTTAAGAGTTTACACCCCACGCCCTGCGATGGATTGGCGGCTTGTCCAGGGTGTTTCCTGCCTTCTGTCCAATGACCACTGGTATAGGCTCCAGCACCCCCTTCGACTCAGAAGGATACACGGCTTAGAAAGTGTGTGTGTGAGTTTACATGACTTTTTAAGGATCCGCTGGAGCCCAAAAATCCAAAAGGAATTTCACGTTTTGCGTTATCATTCAGTAATGTACACTCCTGTGCCCCAAAAAATGGGCCATGCCCAAAAAATGCAATCTTTAAGCATTTAATGGTCTTAACAGCAATCGCATGGTGAGTAGCTTAGCAAGAATTAAACAAAAAGATGAAGTAACTTAGTATGGAAAAGTGTTTCCCTTTGTTTTCTTTAAATGTTGTCTACAAAAAGAAGAGTGAAAATTGTTCCACTCAGCACTGATGGTTTCTAACAGTTAAGCTAGTTTGTGTTTACTGTGAGACCAAATTTCTGGACCATGACCAGGTCAAAACCATCAGTAAAAACCATTCGTGTTTTGGGCTTGATCTATGCATGGGAGTGTATGTTGAACATGAAGAACATTCTGTAACGCTGGTTGTGCTTCGGACCCTTTCAATGAGTTGATGAATGAGTTGATTGCCAGTGCATTGAAAGAGTATTCAAAAAGAAATCAGTCAAAACTTGGTGAATGACGTGTTTTGTGAGAATGTGAGTGAATTATCTACTATTCTCATCAGTATAATGTTGATTCTGCATGTGAGACCTAAACATCAAGCTGGATCTTCTTGTTGAGCCTCTGTGTGTGACGTTAATAAATAAATTCAAAAAACACCAAATCCAACCTGACGCCTCTGACTTTTAAGTTATTATTTCAGAGTTTTACAGGGTGACTTGCAGCAGCTCATGGGCACCATATCTAAAATCAATAAAAGATCAGCTCATCTGAATTTCACATACTTATCTTGAATCTTTTCACTCTTGCTTGTGCTGTGTTCTTTCTCAGAAGCTGTTACTGCAGGAGGGTTAGTTGTTCTTCAAAAAGTAAAGAGCAAAAACAGGCTATATTTAGGTGTGAAAGCACAGCAGTTTTTGAACACTTACACAAAGTAGATCGTCACTACTTACAGCTCTGCTGTTGCCTCTGTATTTTTACTCACAGTTGTAGAACCTAGAAGGAAAAAAACAAACATTCATTCTTTCTATTTTGTGATTTGATGAATTGTAAGGCTCTGTTTGTGATCAGACCTGAAGTGGTTTCACTGATGATGATTTTCTCAGTGGCAGAAACTGTAGTCACAGCTGTTGTTGCTGTTGTTGGAGATATAAATTGGTTTGCGTGGCAAAAAATTATAGCTTGTTGTTCAGCAGGTATGAACAGAATTTCTGATACATGTGATCTTACTTGAAGGTCTTTCAGTGACAGTGAGGTGAACAGTAACCCCCACATCTCCTGCACTGAACCAGTACCAGCCAGCATCACTCTTCTGCAGACCCCTCATCTCCACACTGATGGAACCATTTCCATAGTCAATGACCAGCACTGCTGATTTCTGGGATATGGCAGTCCTCTCTACTTTGAAGCAGCTCCAGTCTGTAAATCTGCACCACTGCTTCTGTTTATTCTGATATATAACACTGTAGAGACACTGGACATTGACACTGCCCCCTTCCTGACCACTCACTCTGCTGTTTATCACTGACACATCAGGATCTGAATACGGATACAGAGAATGAGTGGTGTAAACATGTTCTTCATCATAAATGACGTCTAACGAGCTTTGAGTTACAGTGAACAGATTCAACCTCACACAGAGAGACGTCTTACCTGCACTGACTGTCAGGTACAAATAATCATTGTCATCTAAAGCGCCATCAATTTCCACAGCACACCAATAATATCCAGAGTCAGAGTCTTGGAGGCTGTTCAGTTCCACAGTAAACATATTCTGGGTTGGATGATCAGTGACTGATGTTCTTCCACTTGTGTTTGTATAGGCTACTATTGTACAGGAGGACCAGTAATACCCCTTACACCAGTATTTAAGTTTTGATTTGTACTTCTCATCATAAACACATGGAATACTGAGAGATCCTCCACGTCTTACAGCTAAATTCTTCAGTGTCTTCATGCTCTCAGAATCTGCTGGGAAGAAGCCAAATTGTACCACAGGCTCAGTCCTACACTCTTAACATAGGGTCTGCAAAGGTTCTTTAGTAAAATCAATGGCTAAACATTTACTTTCCAATTTATTAGGTCCATTTACAATATAGATGCAATGTAACAATTACAGACTGTAGTCCATCTGTTTCTCTGCATAATTTGTTAACCCCCTTTCACCCCGTTCGTCAGTACTCAAGACTCTCACAGAGCAGGTAATATTTGGGTGGTGCACCATTCTCAGCACTGCAGTGATACTGACATAGTAGTTATATGTTAGAGTGTGTGTGTGTGTGTGTGTGTGTGTGTGTGTTGCACAGAGTGGATTAGGCACAGCGCAACATGTCAGTGTCACTGCTGGGCTGAGAAGAGTCCACCAACCCAAAACATCCAACCAATAGTGTCCTTGGGTCAGAAACTGACCACTGATGAATGTCTAGAGAATGGCTTACACAAACTGTTCAGCAACAGATATGGACCAACGAGGTAGGTGTGTCTATTAGAGCGGACACAGTGTTTATAAACTCCAGCGGTACTGCTGTGTGCAGTGTCATGGCAGTGCTAAGAATGATCCACCACCCAAATAATACTTTTCTGTACAGTCAGGAATTCCTGACCGTTGTTGGAAATTGTTTTATTTTCATGTATTTTCTAGTTTTCTCTTTATTTTCCTTTGTTTTAATTGTTACTCATTGTTAAACAGTATTAATGCTGAAGGGTTTAAGAGGCCACTTCCATTTCTGTTCTCGTGGTTTGAATAATTACACCAAATGGCCTTACAACACCCCCTGAGGAGGATGTGCTGGGGCAGAATACAGTAAGATATTTACGACAGGATTCAAATGTCCCACGCTGTTCTGTATGACTCTATTAGTGGTGGGGGATCATTTGCATGGCATAAAGCTGTGTGTCTGAGCTGCTGTTCAGTTTAGTAAGACTAAGGCAGGTATACTGAGTGCTCTCTTTTTAATAAAACCATCATTATTTCTGCAAACCCCGGTCTCCTGAATCTCTTCCATGGCAAGATCAAAGATTTACAACACCGTTAGTGATAAGGATAAAGGGCAGCCAACAAATTGCGAAGAGAAATTCAGTAAAATCTGTGATTCCAAAAAGTTTCATTTCAAAATGTTGTAAATCCATTTGTTGGATGTAATGAATTTTTGAAAAGAATAAAAGTTGGCATATAATGAAAAAATGGTATTTCTCTAATAAAGGTGGCATTAATCACAATACAGCACGGATGTTTCTTTTACGTGTAAAGCCCACTCCCAACAACGTAAATCATTAAAAAAAATCTTAAAAGATTTCGATTCTGCATTTTGGAACAAAACCCCTCAATTGTAGGACTACAAAGTGCACCTATATGGTAAGTGGACCTGATAACGTTGGACAACAAGTACAGATACATACCTAATGCCAAAATGTGTCTTTGCCACTTAGTAAACAGTTGCACCCACAATGTTATGATGGTCAGTTATTAAAATGTTTTAATAATAATTCCACAGAAGTGTTCCTATTCATATAATTCATATAATTATCACATCAAAGATGTCAGTATCCACCCTGACATGGACGAGTTAAAGCATTTGAAGCAGTGAAAGTGTAAAGAACACAAATTCAGTGCAAAGGAATGATGCAGCATTGATCTTACCTGAGATACAGAGGAGTAACACAAAGAGAATTAAAGAACGCATGAGTGAGTGAAAGTCCATGTTTCTGTAAGAGGCTCCAGTGACAAACACTCTTCCTGCCTCTGAGTGAAGCAGCTCCACTTCAGTGCTCTTCCTGTTTTGTTTTTTCCTGTGCTAGTTCTCACTCTGTCTAATGTACAGAGCAAAAAACATCAGTAAAGTGCAGAGCTCAGCAAACTCAAAGATTTTCCAGTGATCTTTAGACCCTCATTTTTAATTAATTATCTAATTATTGAATTATATCATTGTGTTTTTCCTCTTTCCGTATTAATAACCAATCATTTACAGTAGTGTTAGGCAACTATGTGTGAACCAATTAGCTCTGAGGCTGGCTGTACACAGGGAAAACTTGCATGCAACTACAGTTGCTTGAAACCTACATGAAACTAAATTGTATTTTAGTTGCATAGTGTAAGTGCCTTGGAATTCACTTGAAACTCATCCTCAACAGTTGCAAGCATCTCAACTTCATTAAACAAGTTTCGTGAAACAGTCATTCAGAATGCTGATAAAGCATCACACAATTATAGTAAACAACATAATTTCAAATCATTAATTTTACTGGGTTAATGAACAAGAAACTTATACTGACGACACTTTATTGGATGATTGAAAATGAGATCCTGATCAACAGCATGAGTTGCTCAAACTTACCCTTTCTGTATCCAGCTTAACTAGCAAGCTAATAGTAACAGCTGTTTAAGCTGTTTGTGCCACTGTTTATTGATGATTTCATTGTTAGATGATTCATTTTCTTTTCACTTGATGTCCCTTATTTCTGCAGATAGCTCAAATTTGCTTGGCATCCAAATGAGCGATATATAAAGGCTATAAAATACACTGTATGTATGAATGGCCAGTGTGTGTAAGCTGCAGTCGTCACAGTGCTGCTTCACTCTTACCACACAGAAGTATGTGTGTAAAAGAAGCCTAATCATTAGACTTGTGCTGTTTGCGATTTCAGAGAGACAACATGGCTGTGCAGGAATATTGGCAAGAAATTATTTCAGCCTTTCTCTTTAGGCCTCTTAGTGTCCATTGTGTTGGTGGAATGGAATTTGACTCTGATATTTGGAATTAATATAATCAACTAAATTATTTTTCCCAATAACTCTATTATCAGATTGACCAGGACACTGATAACCCACTGCACAGGTCCGCTGAAGGATCTGCTCCAAAACATGCAGAAACTATATTTTATGGCTGTTGTGAAACGACTTAAAGCTGCCATTTGAATAACAGTTAAATAATAAGAAATGATGTCACTGGCACATTTTAAATATCTTGCTTGGCTCACTCCCAGGAAATTACAGTGTCTAACTGTTTAAATCAAGGTTTGCAGGGGGAAGTGACCTAAAGGCCTCTGTGAGTCTTCCTTCTTGTTCTGTTGGAGAAGAGATGATATTTAGTCAAGATCAAGAAGTTACTGAAATATTTCTGGAGCCATTCCACTAAACTGAGTAAGAGCAGGAATCATGGGTGTCACTCAGCAAAACACAGTGAAACCAGCTCAGGATAAATGGAAATGAAGTAGAAAACCCAACAAAACTTTTTAAACACAAAAGCTCTCATTCGTGACCATTATCAAATGAAGTACTAGTTAACAGCAAATAGATTTCCTGGTTCTTCCACCAAAGTAGTGATAGAACCCGGTAAATGTCAAAATGATTGACGAGTTATGCGAAGACGTCACATGTGAAATATGTAATGAATTTTCCCCTGTGACGTCATGGTTGAAAAATGTAAAGAATTTCTGGATGACATAAGGTGTGAAAAAAGTAAAACTTTTCCAGATGTGTGTTGGTGAAGGTGTGAGCAAGTTTCCCCCGTGAGAAGCTTTAGTAAAAAAATGTGAAAATTTAAAACATGAAAAAAGTGTCAGGTTGTTGGAACCATTGGTTAATTTGTGCAGTTAGTGTGCATGTGTGTGTGCGTGTGCGTGTGTATGGGCTCTCGACCCTGCGCTCTGCAGTCTGACTGCTGGAGAAGGGCGATTCACATGATGTAATAGGTATGTATGTAATGTGATGATATAATAGTAAGAATGTATTCCATCCGTAGGACGAACGGAATTAATCGGATTCTACCTCTCACGCTAACGATGGACCTAAGATGGTGTTTTTATGGGGGAAATGGACGCGATGACTTTGGATGGATTTTCTTTGGATGATTCAGATTTACGGGACTCAGGAAGGACCTGCCGAAATTCCTTGCTAAAGACCTTTAAGAAGATGTGATTTTTGGAGAAAATGAACCTGAGACGTTCTGTGTGGTGGACCAACGCACGCCGTCCGGTTGCTGTACAAAACTATCCCTGTAGTAGAGGGCAATAACTGTACTGAGGAGAACAAAAGGAGTTTACAACATGATTATGAGATCAAAAAAATCCAAGGATCTTTGCCGGATACATCCATTTCCATCTGAAAAATAAGGTTGAGGTCATGCAGCGGCTTCCTGTGAACACTGACGCTGAAAAAAGGGACTATTTGTGTAAGTTTAAGCAACAGGAAGGTGTGGAATTGGATATAGAAATCATTGGTTTCAACCAGGCTCATCTGAGCATTAGCAAACTTATTCTGAACGTTCTTTGGGGGAAATTTGAACAGAGAACGAATCAAACAAACACGGAATTAATAACGGAACCTTCTGACTTTTTAGAACTGTTTTTGTAATAAACGCGTTTCTTATTTTACTTTTATCAACGACGATGTCGCTCTGGTACAGTGGCAGTACAAAAGGCTGATTTGCAAAGGTTTCCAGTTTTTTGTAGCGGTGTTCACGGCGGCTTACGGACGATTAAAACTGTACGATTTGTTGGACCAATTGCAGAAGCGTGTTTTGTATTTTGATATAGACTCTGTCCAGTTGACCGCTAAACCGGGTGAATACATCCCACCCACAGGATTCTTGGTCAAACAAACTGACCGAAGGAGATTAAAATACATGAATAAAACAAAAAGAAAACAACAGCAACAAAAAACAACAACATAATGACAGACATTAGGGGAATTATCATATATTGCAAAGCTCCAGATATCTGAGGAAAGTATTTCGAATATAAGTATTAATATTTTTTTTGTAAAAATGTAATAATAAAAATAAATAATAAAAAATAATGTTTTGTACAGTTACAGCTAGCACTACTGACCAGCTAAGTCTGAAAGCTGTCCAGGGGGAAATAACTGCACCTGCTCTTTTAAGAGTTACATAAGATTAATGTTTTTTTAAGGCTCTTTCAGCAGCGCAGCACATTTAGAAAGTAGCTCAAACAAAAACCCACAACCAGGTAAAATCCATCCACACTGTGCTTAAACAGCTGTATTTTGGGGAAAACCACAAATCATTCACCCTGTGTGAGGGAGAACCCTGAGAGTGAAAAAAAGAGAGACATTTTTGAACTTCTATCCCCTAACAGGCATTTCATTTTGGGAAGGAATGCAGGATGTAGGCATAAGAGCTGGAATAAATAAATATATTTAAGTCATTAATAATTTATTTAGCTTTCATTATCAAACAGTTTTGTAATGATATTAAGTTTATTAAAAGTCATACAGTGATGGTGTCTCTCCAGCTTTCTTACTCTGCACATAGAGAATTGTCAGTTCAGGTTCAGCAGGTGGTCTGATTTCTCCAGCCTGTGCGCTGATGACCTTTACTCTAATAAACAGCACCACATTTACTTTAGTTTATCTGCCTCATTATCTGTCTCTCTGTGGCTACTAGACTTTTCTGGTCTTTTCTCAAAGGTGAGCTTTTCAACTCTTCGTTCTGCTGCTGCTACTGCTGCTCAGCCCTCTTCTCTCCATTTGTCCTTCTTTGCTCTTTTTTAAATGTTAAATGTACCCAAACCTGCACTTTAGCATGGAGACACCATATTGCAACATTTTCTGTGAAATGAACTCATGACAATAAGAGGTAATTAAGAGAGAACGCTCAACTTATGCTGGCTTGTTTGCTAACTTAACAGCTGCTTTAACTATTCTAACTAAAGCTAATGTTCAGTCCTGGAGCCACATTTCTAAGTTAATACTATACTTAAACATATCATACAGTTATAATGTAATTAATAAATAAAGTAATGAATAGTGTGATTACTTTGTCCAGGTTGTAATAAGTAAAGTAATCCTATTACAGTTTGAGAGATGTGGTGAGTGATATGTAATCGATTACTTTTCTGTTTAACTAACCCAACACTGCTCACTATTCACTGGGGAGGTAATGAAGATAAATTGTGTAGACCAGCTGTTACAGTAAAGAGGATGAGAAATCAAAGTGTACATGAGCAACATGTAACATTTTAACAGCAACAACAACAGAGTTCTTCTTTTAAGTACTGAACTGAGCTGGAAAGTCATCATGACTGATGCAGTTCACTATACGTCCAGCAGGAGGCCGAGCACACCGATAGTGACCATTTAAAGTGTGAATAAGCTTGTTTCTTTACAGTCTCCAGAATTACTGCCAACCTGATAAAGAAAGATGAGCAAAAAATCTATATGGGGGAGAGAGAGACAGAGAGAGAGAGAGAGAGAGAGAGAGAGAGAGAGACTAAATGAGAGAGTGAAAAACATTTTTCTTAATGACAAATGTGTCACAATTACTGTCATCCCTCAAAATTCTTATTAAATTTTATTCAGATTGAGTCTACATCTATTTCTGTTCTAATCTAATGTAGCATGTCACAAAAGCAAAAATATACTGTAATTTAATAATACTCTTTATTTATAGAGCACTTTTCATACCAGTGGCCACTCAAAGTGCTATCCGTTCATTCATTCATCCATCCATCCATCCATCCATCCATCCGTCCATCCGTATCTCTCCTGTTCCTATTATTAGTCCAGTGTAATGGACCTATTTTCTTCACTTTGCGATGAATAATGCATTTTTAATGAAAATAACAGGTTAATAATGGAGGGAGGAATTTGAGTAAATCGCTAAAAAGCTTGTATTTGATCAAATCATTTCCTGGTGGGCATTTTAAACCTCTTTCTGGTGTGGTGCAGTTTGAGGATACCATGATTCTGTACCAGACAATT